TAAAAACATTACTAAAAAGAAGAAGGAGAGACCAAGAGGATGAAAAATCTGAGGCTGGAGGTAGAAGGCCTCTATGGGGCCTTTTTTTTTCAGCCATTGCCGCAAAATAATTGGAATCACAACTCTGTAGATAAATATAGCATTTCATAATGAGCAGCAAATATGAAAAGACACCCATTTTTAATATCTGGCACATGCATGGTTGTTAGATGCTTTGCAATACTGTAACAGAAACTATACTCCATTGTTCCAATGTTTCTCATGCAGCAATTATATAATGTATAATAAATAAATGTATATTTATTTATTAATATGTTGTAAGCTGCCCAGAGTCCCCCACTGGGGGGAGATGGGTGGGGACAAGTTAAATAAATAAATAATAAAAAAATAATAATAATAAAAAAAAAAACAGAACAGATCATGGTGTGAATCCTTTATCCTGAAGGAGATTCTCTAGACCAGAGTAGAAAAAAAATGACCATGCTTCTTATTAGGAATAATAATGATAGCCCTGTGAAGAAGGAATGACTGAGAGGGGAGGTAAATGACAGATGGATTGGGCCAGGATCACTCTGTAAATGTTATGGCTGAATAAGGGTTTGAAAATGATTGCCTCCTGTACTTTTGATGTAGTGGATACAATCTGTTGCCTTACACATACGGGTAGTCCTTGCTTAGTGACTGCCTCATTTAGTGACAGTTTGGAGTTATGATGATGATGAAAAAGTCACTTTAAGACCAATTCTCACATTTATGACCTTTGTAGGTCTGTAAAGCAAAGGAAAGCTGAAGTGCCACTTCACTTAACAACCAAGTTGCTGGTCCCAGTTGTGGTTGCTAAATGAGGACTACCTGTATTTAGCACTCTAACTTCTACCAACCATATCCAGTACAGGTGATAGCTTTAGCAGGAAACCTACTGTGGGAATACAGTGACCTTATCTGGGGCATACTGTATCCCAGAAGTGGTAATGACAAATCACTTCCATACTGCTGCCAAGAAAACTAAATATATGCATTGATGTAGTCATCAGGGGTCAAACTTGACTCAAGGGTGTCATATTTTGGGACCCAGGAAGCATGCCTTCTCTATTGTGACACCTGCCCCCTGGAATGGAGTTCTTCCTGTAATCCGTGTGGCTCCCACCCTGATAGCATTCTGGAATGCCTTAAAGACCTGGCTGTTCTTCCAGGAGTTGGGCTAAGTGGATGAAGCCCCTTGTGGGATATTTTTTGTGTGTTGTTGCTGGACCACCATCTTGTTCTTGTTCTGTTCTTTTGTTCTTATCTTTCTTGTTCTTTATTGATTTTGTTTCTGATTATTCACATTGTATTTTATTCTGCCATTATGAGGTGCCCAGAGTCAGATGGCGCCTAAACTGAATTTAATTAATTAAATCTTTCCAGATTAACTTTGGGAGAAAACTTCTATATTTTTTAGCTTATAATGGGAGGAAGTTCTTACCCACTCCCATAGATAAAGTCTACTCAGAACTCTACAGGCTACTGATCTTTGCATTACAAGCAATACAATGCGGCTATAAAGACCAAATCTGAGGATGGAGTTACTCCATCTTTATACATTATGAGAACAGTCAGTGACTATGTTTATGGCAATTTGTGGGTTTTGACTTACTATATTGGGCAAACTCAGCCAATGGTAGTTCATTCAATAACCAGTTAGTCCTCATTTAATGACCACTCATTCAGCGACCGTTCAAAGTAACAACAGCTCTGAACGAGGAGACTTATGACTGGTCCTCGTAGTTGCAGCCATTGCAGCATCCCTGCGGTCACATGATTGTGATTCAGGTGCTTGGCAACTGGCCTGCAATTACAATGGTCACAGAATCCCGCAATCACGGGATCGCCATTGGAGACCTTCACTGCTAGCTTCTGACAAGCAAAGCCAAGCCTGCAGAAGGTCACAAATGGTGATCACATGTCATGCCTAACAACCATACAGGATTCGCTTAACAATGGCAACCAGAACTGCTGCAACTGCTGTTGTAAGTCAGTGTGGTCACGTGACATTGCGCTTTACAACTGTGTTGTGCTTTACGACTGGGTTGCTTAGTAATGGACTTGCCGGTCCCTATTACCATCATTAAGCGAGGATTATCTGGAGTTAAGCAAACCTTGGCTTAGGATATGTGAACCAGATCACAAATTAAAGAAAGAATGAATGGCTAGTAAATAGCATGCAAAGCAAAGATACCTGTTGTAGTGGCTGCTGCAGTTAAGTCGGCCATATTGCTCCTTTTCCGGCAGGCTTGTCCGAGAGGAGGTGTTTAAATGCTTGCGCTGTTCTTTGGTCTTCTGTAGCACTCGCTTATAGGAGAGTGTACAAAGCCAGCAGAGTAACTTCCCATCCACCTGAAGTCAAGGAAGAGAAGGCAAGAGAGAAATGGGATTTTGTTAATAGATTTAGTCAACAGATTAATGTGCAGATTGGAACCAAGCTGTATGTTAGACTAAAATAAGTCATACAGAATGCAGTTTGGAACTGTGCATAAAAAGGTCATTTTAAGAAAAAACATGAATGCAAACTTTAACGTGGTTTAAACAATTGAAAAATGTTGCTAAATCAGGATGGAAGAGACACGTCAACCCAACAGAAACAGACTCATCCATCTCTCCCAATAAAAATAACAGCTATTCTGAAACCCAGTAAATTAAAAAAAAATCTGCTGCTGTTTAGTACAAACCAACTCAACTCCCTCTTTATGTAGCCTGGAATTTCTGTTGCTAAGCAATGTGGTTGTAAAGCTTGACATCACATGACCACATTGCTTAGTGATGGCAATCCTGGCGCTCCCCATTGCCGTCATTAACCAAATTCCATCGGTCGTTAGCCGAGGACCCACCCCGATCGAACCCATTCCCAGCTTGGTTCTTCCCAGCCCTGAGCCTCAGTTCTTCCAAGGTAAGGGACTGCCCCCCCTTCAACTCCCCCCAACTCCCTATTCCCCCTCATCTCTGCCCTTTTGGCTGTCCTGCATCCCACCTTGTGGGGCAGCAAGCAGCCCTGGAACTGCATGGCTCTGGGGCTGCTTGCCATGCTCGGCTCAGAGGCTTCTTGGCACACTGAAGCTCTGGGGCTGCAAGAAGCCCCTGAGCTGCATTGCGAAGCCACAACTGCCACAGCCCGGCCCAGCAGTGTGGTGTGAAGCCCCAGTTGCCCCAGCAGCGCAGCATGGTGCGGCACAAAGCCACAGCTGCCTTGGGAAGCCCCAGCTGCCTCAGCCCAGCCCCAGCCACCCTTGCTGCTCTGCACTCTGCTGCCCCAGCTGAAGTCTGCCATCTTCTTGCTCCCGCTGCTGACAAGGCATGCCCAGCCTGGCCCTTCACGAGGCAGCTGCTGGCCCTGGGAGGCCTTCTTCCCCAGGTCTCATAAGAAAACTGCCATGTGCAACCTTGGGAAGAAAGCCTTGTGCAGCTGCCTTGCGAAGGGCCAGGCCAGGCATGCTTGGTCAGCAGGAGCAAGAAGATGGCAGAGGTCAGCTGGAGTGGTGGAGCACAGGGTGGCAGGGACCAGGGAGTGCAGAGGACCAAAAAGGCACAGATGGGGGGAGATAAGCTGGTGGGGGGAGTTGAAACACCCCTGCGGTCATTAAGTGTGGGCAGGTTGCCAAGCACCTGAATTTTGATCGTGTACCCGTGGGGGCACTGTAATGGCTGCAACTTCGGGGACTGGGCATAAGTACCATTTGTTCAGCACCGCCATAACTCCAAACGCTCAGCAACTTTAAGAGGTATGGACTTCAACTCCCAGGATTCCCCAGCCAAGCATTGCCACTGAAGAAATGGCCATAATTTGAGCATTATCTATATCTATATCTACATCTACATAGATACACACAGGGCTTGCTCCAGGTCAGTCAACGTGTTCCAGGGAACCAAACCTCAATCTTCCACTTGTTAGTGTTTATTTGATACCTGCAGTGGTTTTAAACTTATGCTTTAAAAATGTTTACATTCTGCATTTTATTAACTGTTAGCAGCTTTGCGTACTCCGACTGAATGGAGCACCATCCAGTCAAGTCAGATGGGGGGAGATAAGGTTCCAGTGCTGTCTTAATAACTAAGATTCAGCTAGAAGTAAATAATGGCTAGCACCAAAGTCAGCTGCTGCTTGGACACTGGCAGACTGAAGCATGGTTCAAGTCTACGCATAATAAAGAGTACTTTCTGTACTAAACATACATAGATACTCACTTTTTTCCTATCATCCTTCCTGTCGAAGGCACACTGTTGCTTACACTGCTCACATGAATGGGGCGGCCCGTATTTCTTCTCAGAGTTCGTACACCGCTGGCACTTATTGCCAATAAATGCTGCAATTATGTTGCAGTACTGGCACGGCTTTGGCTTAAATAATAAAGAAGATAAAATAGCAAAGGGATTAGCATCACATTGAAATATATAAGGAGTCATCTCCCATCTGCTCAAACGCTTCTAACAATGCATTTCAAGCTTTATTCAATGAAATAATTGAATAAAAGTGGGGAAAAAACCTGATAATGCCACAAGTACTTAACTTCTCTAGAGCTGTTTCTTTTCCTTGATTAGCCATGGAAAATAATCCTCTTATACACTGAAACAATATTATAGCCTTACACAGTTTACATTTTTTAAAGCCTTATTTTACGCTCAAGTGTTTTAAACTCACAAAGCAAGAATACACATTCAAGATCTTTAGGCAATTGAAATGTAACAAATGTACTTAAGAATGGAACTTCAATTAACACTAAAATGCCTTAGCTGGTTTATATGAAAACATTGTTTCTGACAATCCCATAGTTTATCAGGCACTAGGCCAGTGATGGGAAACACGTATCAGTGACCAATAATTCTAAACATCTTTTGCTACAGGCCACGTGAGCCATAGTGGCTCACCAGAAATCAGTAAGTATTCCACTAGCGCGGTGTTTCTCAACCTCAGCAACTTTAAGAGGTGTGGACTTCAACTCCCAGGATTCCCCAGCCAGAATGCTTG